GGTTTAGGTTTAAGGGGCTGAATAGAGGCAACGAAGCGCTGCTGGGTGTTCTTCTCTGCTGCCTCATGCTGTCTCCTTTTACACTGTCTCCTTTTACTATGATGCTGTCTCCTTTCCTGCTGCTGCTGCTGCTGCTGCTGCTGTTTTCCTTTGTGTTTTTGTTTGTGTATATGCAGCTATGTTGTGTTTTGTGTTTGTTTTTATTGTTGTTTCTGTTTGTCTCTCTGTCTCCTCTTTCTCTGTCTCCTTTCTTTCTGTCTCCTTCTTCTTTCTCTCTGTCTCCTGTCTCCTCTTGGGGGCCCTGCTGCACCGGCTGCAGCTGCTGCAGCCTCGACCTGTGGGGCCTCGCTGCAGCTCGCGCCTGGCGCGTGAGGCAGAGGTGTCTGTACACCCTACAACAGCAGCAGCAGCAGCAGCAGCAGCAGCAGCAACAGCAGCAGCAGCAGCAGCAGCAGCAGCAGCAACAGCAAGTGTGTTACTAATAGATTTGAAATAAAGTTGCAGCCCAAAGGAAGCGGCCACATACAAAAACCCAAATTCCCTCCGCTGCTTCTGCTGCAGCTGCTGCAGCAGTTGCTGCTGCAGTTGCTGCTGCAGTTGCTGCAGCAGTTGCTGCAGCAGTTGCTGCTGCAGTTGCTGCTGCAGTTGCTGCTGCAGTTGCTGCTGCAACTGCTGCATATGTTGCTCTGCTGCTGCAGCAACTGCAGCAGCTGCAGCCTTTGCTGCAATGGCTGCTGCTGCTGCATTCCGCTCCTTCGCTGCTGTTTCTGTTTCTGCTTCTGCTGCTGCTGCTGCTGCTGCTGCTGCTGCTGTTGCTGCTGCTTTACTGCTGCTTGCTGCTGCCGATGCAGCAGCAGCAGCAGTTGTCTTTGGCTGCACTTTGTTATTAAAATGAAATAAAAGCTGCAGCCAACGACCGACTTCTGCGGTGTATAGACAGCTGCTGCTGCTGCTGCTGCTGCTGTTGCTGCTGCTGCTGCTGTTGCAGCAGCAGCAGCAGCAGCAGCAGCAGCAGAGTTTCTTCGCTGCCTTTTTTCTTTATTAAAAAGAAATGAAATAATTTAATTTAAGAATTTATATAGCGCTTCCTTTGCTCCTGCATTAGCATAAGTATTAGCAGCAGCAGCAGCAGCAGCAGCAGCAGCAGCAGCAGCAGCAGCAGCACAACTTGCTGCTGCACCTGCTGTTTATTTCTGCTGTTGCTGCTGCTGCTGCTGCTGCTGCTGCTGCTGCTGCTGC